CACATGATTTTAATAAACACCTGCGGCAATAATATGGAATTTTTTCCGTCAGTGTATACATAGTACCTGCCGGATAAAATGGAGTATTCACCGTTCCTGATTAGATGATACGCACATACCTACGTAAATTATAAATTTTTATGTTCTACAAAAGTTTGTACATCATTCATGCTAAATTATGTTAAAATTCGTTATTAACAGATATCGATATAGAAAACAGTATAATTTTTTGCTTTTTAAGTCTTTGTAAAATGGGATCCAATTATTGTATATAACTTTTCTCAAAGGATTGTTTTATTTATAGTTTAATAAATCTGCTAATTCATTAGAAAGTGAAAAAAAAACTTACGCATTATGCTTAAAAGAGACCGTACTGTATTGCGATATATCGCAAATGACGATCAAGACTGTGTGAATATGTATGCTGACCATGCACCTAACTCCACTACCTCTACTAAGCATTTCATCAAAAAAGACACTCTGGTTATAGCGTAAGCGTTTGGATGTTCAATCATAACGGCTTTCTCGGATGATGAATAACAGCATAATCAAGATTAAAGAGCTCACGACAAAATGTGCGCTCACTATTGAATGCTTTTCTTCGAGTATGATTCTTATTTCATTTTCCCTAAATATGACTACACACTTTGAAGTTATTTTATGTAGACGACCAAGGTGATGAATTCTGGAATACAAATATTTTTACCACTGAAGGGCCTTAACAGCATTGCTACTAATTAATGTGGATACCATTTTTATAAAAAATTTATATAGAGAGGTCAGCTTTTTTATTGCAATATTTTTTTATTTTTTAAAATATGATCAAAAATTTGGTATACAAATAATGTTAAATCCAGTACCACCAAATAAAATGACGAAAAAAAAGTCGTTCTTATCTATCTTATTTATACGAAACTTCATTAATGAAACGTAGTTTCAAAAAAAACAAAAAATTTTTTAACTAAAAAAACTCTCCGTCGTGGCTAATTAAAATAGCAGATTTTAAATTATAGTACTCACCAGCTTATTTAAAAGATCGATTAATAAGATTTTATACTCAACTAAATTAACGCAAAAAATAAAATTAGATAGATATTGTATCAGAATTCACTATCAACCTAAAGTCGGCTCTAGAATCGGCTAGACATTTCATAAAATATATTCTCCTTGTTTTTAAGTTCGTTGATAATAATTTTTAAACATTGAGTGTTCAGTCTTAACATTCTTAAATTATCAATTTTTTAAAAGAATGGTTAGTCGGTTGTCAGACTTAGAATCTATTCTTGATAAAAATGTTCGACTCTCATCTGAATCTATTTCAAACTTTAAATTATCTATTAAGAATTAATTATTATATTTTATCTAAATTAACGCGAATAAGGCTTATCGTATGATAACTTGAATATTCTATTTTAAATTCACTGATTATACTCAACCACTTAAATTAATGTGAAAAAATAAAATTAGTGATTATTAGCATTATGTATTAATATTTATATATTAATATTTATTTTAAATATAAAATATTTATGTTTTTAAGCTAAATTAAGAATAAATAAGAGTAATGATGAGCATTTACGATACGTATACGGCCTAAAATAAATTATCCAAAATGGCCTATCTTTTCTATCTTTTTTTTATTATTAATATAAAGTATATAAAAAAGAAAATTACTCTAGAATAAAAATAACTTTTTTTTTATATTTTTTTTACCTAATTAAGATTAATTTATACAAAATTTTTTTGGAGAGGAGTTTTTTTAAAGAAAATCCAGTAATCGGGAATTAGCTTTATAATATATATATATATAAATTTTATATAAAATGTGTTTTGGGCAAACTTCTCAATTCAAAGATCTGCTTTTAAAAATTTTAAAGACGTTATTTTTAAAAGGCGTAATTAATTCAAGTAAAAATCAAAAGCTCTATTTAAAATTAGAAATCTTTATACGTATAAGCGTAAACTTTGTTTTTTTTTATATATTTTACCCAATTTGACATCATTTAGACCTAATTTTGGAATTCAAATTTGTACACATATAAGCTTGATTAAATTGTGATAATTTAAAATTTAGTATACTTTTATTTTAATCAAAAATAAATTAAATATTATTAAAAATTACTCAAATTAAATTTACTAAAATTTTAAAGTTATCACAATTTAATCAAACTTATATGTGTACAAAATTGAATGCTTTTTATACTAAGATTGACTATTACTTTGTACAAAATTAAATGTTCTTTGTTCAAAATTGAATTTTCTTTGTACTAATTTGATGTCAAATTGAGTAATAATAAAAAAGAATCAATGCAGTAATTTATTATAGGGAAGGGCTGTGTTTTAAACTTAACAAATACGAATATATTATAACAGTTATATATATATTCACCAACTAAATAAACGTAAACAAATGTGTACGAAATCTTAGTAATATAATTATTATGATTGGTTCAAGTTACTCATTATTCATTATTTAATGAATCAAATATTCTAGAAATATCAAATAGAAAGTCAGTTTTAACATTATTATGAAGCTAACTTTACCAGAAAACAGTTTTTAAAGTTACATGTAAGCCAGGAAAAAAATCCGTAATTCCCATAATCTTAGTGTGGATTAATATCGATACTTTATCGCATCATCTAAACGTAAATCTTTGACACATGATTAAACTTACATGAACCATCGCTATATGCAAGTGTTTATACTTCAAATAAGTCACTCATGTACAACTCTAAATGGTAAAAAAAATATTGCATGAAGTTTATGTTGATGACAATTATAATTTTCTCCAAAACACATTCTTTACGAGATTTGTAAAATTTACAGCATCTTTTATTAGATTTTTATATTATTTTATTTTTTTAAAGCTCATTTCGCAAATTCAAAAAAATGATACCGAGTTTGCAATAAGTAATCAAAATGATTAAGTACGCACATAGATAGCGATGCATCAAAAGCATTTAAGAAGAAAGCTCCTTAAAAAAGGAAGAAAAAATTTAAGAAAACTATAATGATTATTTTATAGTAATTTTGCTCGAACTTTGATCAGCACTGCCACGAGGAATCTTTAAAATAAAATAAAATAAAAATATATTAAAAGAATGATATTTGTTAATAAAATGACAAAATGTGCATGTAACAAACATACTTTGATTTCAAGCAAACCATTCTGAAATTTTGCTTCAATATTTTCTTGATTTAAATCGCAGTCGCGAGGTAAAAAGACAACTTTACGAAATTTTCCGATTCTGCGTTCACGTACACGTGAAGTTGCAGCTTCATAAGTGGGCTTGCGTTTAGATTCTCCATGAACAGTTAGTTCTAATTTGCGTAGATCAATTGAGATGTCTTCTTTTGGTACGCCCTGATATATATATTTTTCATGTGAGTGATTTGTTAAATTTTAAATTTTTAAAAAGAAAATAGTTTTGACTTTACAGGCAGATCAATGTGAATGATGAAAGCTTCGTTCGTGTCAAATACATCGGTAGCAGGTCTCACAAAAGAGAAAGAAAAATTAAGTTATATAATATTTGAGTGTAAAATTGTATCTGTTAAACATGATACAAGAATTACGAATAGTAGTAGTGTTGCAAAAAATGTAATATATAGTTGGCCAAAAAAATTTTAAAAATGTTTAATAAATCGATTTTATATAGCCAACTAATCAATTAATCGATTAATTGACTAATCGAATTGCGTAGTTACTATTTACAAGTTCAAAGTATGATATATACCGTATAAAAACAACTAGTCAATTAGTCAACTAATTGATTAATCGGTTTTCGATTTGAAACACTAACTAATAGTGTTATTATTATAATTATTAAAGTTACCTCCAAACTACATCACCCGTTTTACTATTAACCTTAACACGACTTCCATAGCTTCGTGACTGATGTGATTGATCTAAAGTCGGTACACTACTGCGAGAACGAGGTGATATATCCCAGGTACGATAAGCCGTCTGATCCCAGGTAGGTGAAGTATCCCAGGTACGAGAGGTCGTCTGGTCCCAGGTAGGTGATGTAGGACTCCACAAAATATCTGGAGTAGTCCAATCAAAGGTCCTAGTGCGTGGGAAAGTATCAAAGTACGGATCGTATAAAGGAGAGATAGGATCGTTTAAGAGAAGAGACATCCTTGAAAGATTGGAGTTAAAACTTGATAGTTGAAAATAATAAATCAAATTCTGTCTTTTTATAAATTATTCTATCATAGGTCACGTAACTTTATGTAATAATTTCTTATTATTATCAAAATAAAATGTCATTGTTTCGTAATTATTTGTTACGTAACTCATCTCTGATGTATTTCGTCATAATATTCATTTCATTGAGCAGATATCCTTAGAATACTAGAATAATTTATGAATTTATATCTAAAGTATTTTAGAAGAGGAAATTTCCTTAACACCTTTCTTTCATGACGCCAAAATTTTAACGATAAACTCGTGCAAAATTGCATCCTACTATAAATAAACACTATCTTTCCTTATCCGACATGTCTGACGTAAACATCGAACGATTTTTGTGTAAGTTATTCAGCCACCCCCTAATACAAATACACAAAAATCGTTCGATGTTTACGTCAGAAATGTCGGATAACTTAGTTATCAGTCGAATTTTAGTGATTGATGACTGATTTTTCATAGTAAATATCCTGGTGAATAATCAGTTATCAATCAAAGCACAACGGATAATTATCGTTATCCGGATAAACGCTTAACGGATCGGAACTCTACACTCGTGATATTAGAATGAGAGAGATTATAGAAATATGATAAAAAAATTATTGTCACTCTGGTTATATTGACACTCTAGCAATGGAAAGATTGTCGATATATCCAGACTGACATTATATTGACACTCCAGCAATGGAAAGATTGTCGATATATCCAGATGTCAGTTTAATAAGCATCTCTATCGCTATCTATACTGACATTATATTGATACTGTGTAGATATGTCGGTTTAGGCAGAGATAAATTTTGTTTTCACAAAGAATAATAAGCTTAGCAAAAAATGAATTTATTTTAGCACAAACCGAATTTTGGTTTATTTAGCATAAAGTGAATTCATCTTATGTTTGCATGAAATAAATTTATCTTATGCTTAACATAAAATGTAAATTATTTTATGCTTAAAATAAAATGAAATTATTTTATGCTAAACATAGAATAAAAAAAATTGTTTCATGTTAAACTTAGCATAAAACGATTTCGTTTCATGCTAAACATTACTTATTTTATACCAAATATTGCAAAAAATACTTCGTTATATGTTAAGCTCAGCATAAATCAAATTTAAAAAATTAATTTGATTGGTACAGTCGATTTATAAAAATTGTCACTATATCCAGTAACAAAAAATCAACGAATTTTAAAATGATGGATTTTTTTTTTTTGAAAAAAGTGTCAATTGTCAGCTGTCGATATAACCCGATTGACGTGTATAATGCGAAATATTTTTAGATCTTAATTATAATGGTTTAAATCTTAGGTTTATTCCTAAATTTTAAATAAATATATATCTATTAAACAAAAATTATGCATAAAGTTCTGACTAGCAGATTCCTCTACGATTTGTCTATTTGAGATTAAATTTGATTATATTTGGATACATATCTTGAAGAATAGTATTTGAGAATACCTAGCTGGTATAAACCATTGAAGACTAACAAAGTTGAATGAAAGATGTATCGGATATCCCAAGTCTTTGTTAAGTACCTGAATATTTTACGGTACTTTATCTTGAATGAAAATAAATTAAACTCATCAATAATCCAAAAAAAAAAAAGAATTTATTCATCTATTATACAAACCATATGCAATCCACAGCATAGTATAACGGCAGGGTCTCAATACCTAAATATGGACTCCTGATTCTATCATTTAACAGCTGGTTTCCTTCGAGCAGCCGTGAAACCACTAAATAATGTAGTTTCTCTCTCGTCCTATTGTTAATACGATCGTTTCAGCTTACAATCGCGTATATTATCGTTTCAGTTCAAATCACAATCACCCCTATAGTTACACTACCAAGACTTGTAGAAACTTATTAAAATTTTTCTTATTGTAAAGAAAGTGATTATATAGAAATTTATTTTTTTAAGTTAATAATAGTTCAAAAAATAAATGCGCTTACATTATAAAAAATTTTTATAAAAAAATTTTTATTCTATGTGCTAATATATATGAGAGTGTGATTATTGTTATATACTGTATACTAAATTACTACTGTATCAATGTATTCTGCGAACTTGAAGCCCTTTAATTGATTTATTTTCGGCATCCTTGGCTAGCTGGCATTCAGCCAATCGTACCTATGCTTTTTATATGTTTTTTATAATGTGCATATTCGATTAGTGAAATTATCGAGTATACGTAGATACTGTAGATGATAGATATGCAATACCTAATGCAAATAAAATAATGTAATTTAATAATAACAGAGAAATAATTAATAACGATAATAATTAATTACGCATTATAAAAGTAAATCTTCATATTTCATTTTAACTAGTTTAACAAATTTGTGTTTACAAAAATGTTTTAGTGAGTACGTAGCAATAATTAGTACGTATTCAGGAAGCAATAATTTATTTAGTACGTACGTAGAATTATCATTATGTAGATTATACCAAATCTAGCAACCCACTGGGAAGAATCGTAATACGTATTAAATAATCCCTGCTGAAGGGTCTTTAGAGATTTTGTGATATCATGATCGTTACAATGTGCGCCTAATGAACTTCTTTTTTGATCAATAATTGCGAAACCGTTTCCCCTAGCTTTCACTATGTGTTCAAAACTAGTTTTACGCTTGCAAAATCTTTCCAAATATTGCTAGCGTCGTACATTATAATCACTTTATAAAAATTATTTAAAAATTATTTAAATTATTGAATTTCGGCTTATCTAGTTTAGGATTAATAGATAATATTGATATCAATTTTAATTATATTTTAATTAATATTAATTAGAACGTAGATATAGTAAACGTCAGTTCTATTGATCTTAGAATTAAAATTATCTTTGTCTCGTGACTGCCAAAATGTTATTACGTCATATATAAAATTGGACCGGGTTCAAAAATATTTACCCATGTAAATATAATTTTTAACTTTAATTTTAATGCTTTTTTTTTTAAGAGCCAATTTTATTTAAATATATCTGTAGCATTTTAAATAAAAAACGGTTTAGATTCCAAAGTTTTAAGTTTAATCCGAGATCTAATTCTAATATAAAATTTATATATAAGTTATAAAGCCTAAAGAATTAAAAATTATATAGTTATACGTATACGTAAGATGCGAAAATCACACTTTGACTGTACGTACATATAATAAATGAAGAACAATAGATCTTTTTTTTTTCTGAAATCGGATAATGCTAAAATTAGATGATGCTGAAAATAGAATGATGCTAATTATCAGCCGCGATATTTATTAACTAAAATATTATACAGGTAATAGATATTCGACGGGCTGCTGTGGATATCGCAGATTACCGCGGCGAAACAGTGGTACTGCATGATGTCATGGCACACCGTGGAATATCTAATAAACGGTTCTAACATTTATGAAATGCCCATGGAATAATTTGATATTTTCATGGCATACGTCATCATAAAAATATCACCAGAGATGTTCACGGCGAACATTATAGAATATATACGTATAACCAATTATTATTTGTTAAATTTTTATGCTGCTGTCTGTAGAATTTAATTAATTAGTTTTAAATTATAGCGTTAGAAAAACAAGCAGACCAATTATATAATAAATATGGACTAGTTCTATCTCTAATATTATATATATTATAGGCCGATTTTAACGCTCACCGGAGGTGAAATTCACCGGGGCGCTGTATCTCAAAAACGTACTAAGTAAATGGGATCGGGTACTCTAAGTAAAAATGTTCAAAACCCCTGAAAA